ACCTCTCCTATCTCTCCAGCTGCCCCCCTCAGCAGTGTATTTCAGTAGATCTGCCTATTCTGCTCCCCACTCTGACTCTGGTAAATCCTCTCATGCTCCACCCCCCACCCCCATCACTGGCCTATATCCCAGTTCTTGTATGCATAAATAAATAAAAATAAATTTTTAAAAAATTATATTGATAGATCTGTGCATATCAAACCAATCCTGCATTCCTTGTAATCTCACTTTGTCATGAGGCATTATCCTTTTGGTACTTGGCTGTATAAAATTTTGCTTAGGATTTCTTATCTGCATTCATGAGGGATATTTAGCTTAACATTTGTTTTTTAATTTTAATTTTACTTTTAATTTTTTAATTCTCTAATCTTGAAAGTTTGTTTTTTCTAATGTCTTTGTTAGGTTTAAATGTTAGGGTAAAGCTAACCTCACAGAGTGAATTAGGAAATGCTCCATGATTTTCAATGTTTTAGAAAAGTTTGTATAAATATGTATATGCCTACAGGCACAGGGCAATTGGGTGTCTCTTGCTTAAGGTCTTATGCAAGACATAGGTCAAGGGGTCAGTCTTGGCTGCTGTCTTTCAAGGCAGGATAAGAGAAATTATGCTTCTAAGCTCATTAATTTTGCTGTTAGCAGACCTCAGAGATCTGTTTTCACACTCACTTACATGGGTGTTAGTAAGTCTCATGACCTTGTTGAGTGCAGACTGGAAACATTTTGTTTGCAATGAGGGCATTTACACAAAGCAACTCTCCAACACAACAGGTGGTTCAGGTGGTTCCCCTCAGAGTAAGCAAGTGAAAGGGCTAGAAATCCAAAATGGAAGTCACTGTCCTTTGTAACCTTGTCCTGAAAGTGACATCTCATGAATAAGCATGCCAGTAAGTACAGTCCATCATAAGGAGACAGGATTTCACAAGAGTATGACTACCTGGACATAGGAATCATTGAAGAACATGTTAGAGACTGCCTATCATAATTGTTCCTAACATTACCTTATTATCTTTCTAATAATCTTAGAGTCTTTAGTGATACGACCTCTTCCTTTATTATTTGAGTAATTATATTTTCTTTTTTTCCCCCTGATCTCTTGGATTAGAGGTTGGGAAATTTATTTTTTTATCTTTGTACAAAGCTTTAATTTCATTGTCTATTCTTGTTATTTTCTGAATTCTGTTTTCTCAATTTCCACTCTGATTTATATTATTTCCTTTTTTCTTGCTTATTTTGGAACTTGTTTGCTCTTTTTATCCCTCCTGTTTAAGGTGGGTATTTCTTCTTTTTCTAAAATGGAGTTTGGAGCTAAAATTAGCACTAAATACTGCTTTAATGACATTGAACAAATTTTGATATGTTGCATTTTCATTTTCATTCAGTTGAAAATAGTTTCTAATTTCTCTTTTATATTTCTTCTTGACCATGGGTTATTTCAAAGTGTTCTATTTAGTTTCTAAATATTTCAGGATTTTCCAGAGAGCATTCTGTTATGGAATTTTAATTTAATTCCATTTTGTGGTCAGAGAACATACTCTGTATGACTTGAATTCTTTTAAATTTAATGAGATTTTTGGCCCAGAATGTGCTCTATTTTGGTAAATGTTCCATGTGTTCTTGAAAACAATATGTATTCTGCTGTTGTTGGGTGTAGGATTATATAAATGTCAATTTAGGTTAAGTTGGTTGATGGTGCTGTTCAAGTCTTCTAAATCTTTACTCATTTCCTTGTATATTCTACATTTTAAAATTTTATCAAAATGCAATATCTGCAACTAAACTTGAAAATTAATATATTCTTTTAATTTTAAAATATCTTTCTTCCTCCAGTACACACAGGCATATGCACTAACATACATACACAAAGTTACAAATTCATAGAACACAGAACTGGAATTAAATGAAGCATCTAATTGTGAAGCAGCAACTTTGAACAAATTTTACTATTTAAGAAAGAACTTTTGCACCTGGATTATTTTCTCTTTCCTTGTCTGACCTTATAGTTACTTAATTGCAAAATGTGCTCTATTCATAGTACTTCTTAATATTTTATTGCTTATGCCAATTCATGTCCCCACTGCAAGTAAGGCAGAAAGTAAAATCTATAGTACAATGAAAGAAATATGTGTATTTCTACTTTAACATTGTTTATAAGTATTCTATTTTCAACAGATTATATAAATATTTTTAAAACTTTGCATTTTACAAGATTGTTTATAAAATATAGGTTATGGGACAAAGAGTAAATATTACAGTTGAAACATTTAACATTGCAACCAGAATACTAATAAAAATAATTATTATTCCAATTAAAACACTAGCATTCAGTAAATGTCCACTACCATGTGAACCCAAGATCATTGCTGATTTTTTCAGTCTTAAATTTGCAAAATGTATGTCCTCGGGTTATTTACCTCCAATGAAAAAAATGTCATTAAAATTGAAAACATGCTATGGATCTGTACTTTCTTCAACAATCAATTTTTTTTTTTTAAAAAAAGATTTATTTATTTATTTATACAAGCACTGGGTACAGTCAGAAGTGCAAGAGGGTGAGAGAATTCACCAGAGCCAGAGCAGGGAGCAGAGCAGGCAGGAGGACACCGCTGAGGGGAGCAGCAGGTGGCAGGAGAGGTCTGCGCACCATGTGGGACCCTCCTCCGGTGGCCGGGGAGTAGCCGGGGAGCAGCCGGGGATCGAACCGGCGCTGCAGAGGCTGCGGGCAGCTTCGCAACCCAGCGCTCAACCGCTGCGCCACCGGGGAGGCCCAAAAATCAATTATTTTTAAACACAAGGGAAATGTCTTCTTTATCTACTGCTACAGCTTCACTAGATAGCTCAATATAGGAATGATACCAGTTCTTGAAGCTGTTAAACTAGCTTCACATGTATTAGGGAGGTACTGCCATAGCATTCTTAGCGTAAGGTTTACTTCTCAGCAGAAAGCTTGTCCCTGAATGTTTCAAAATATTGATTTGCTGGGGGCAAAAGTGACAGATGAACCAATGATATCATTTACTTACATGTCAATCATGTATTAATTTGCATTATAAGGACTATGTTTCAGTTGAAAAGATGGTATGCCATAATTCTCTAATCTTGAAATGCATAGTATTCCTAATCATTTTGTTAGCATCAGCCACCATTGGGATTTAAATCTCTTTCCTCCCACTCAAGGGATCACTGAAAACATATTTACTGCACACTGATTATGCTCCAGAGCCTGTTCTAAATGTTGGAGACAGAGGTGAACATGACAGACCAGGTCCCTGTGTTCATAGGTTTTATATTCTGGTGGGGAATACAGACAATATACCGGGAACTCAGTAAATACATTAATATCCAAGAGTTATACTTGCCTTTAAAAAATAATACAGGGTGATTAGATTTGAAATGATATGTGAGGACTGGGTGGCCATTGGGCAGAAAGACTACTTTCGATAGGAAAATCAGGAAGGCTTCTCTAAAGAGATGACATTTGAGTCAAGACTTATGAGAAGAGGGCCTCCCCGGTGGCGCAGCAGTTGAGCGCTGGGTTGTGAGGCTGCCCGCGGCCTCTGCAGCACTGGTTCGATCCCCGGCTGCTCCCCGGCCACCGGAGGAGGGTCCCACATGGCACGCAGACCTCTCCTGCCACCCGCTGCTCCCCTCAGCAGTGTACTTCGGTCCTTCTGCCTGCTCTGCTCCCCACTCTGGCTCTGGTGAATTCTCTCATCCTCCTGCGCTTCTGACTGTGCCCAGTGCTTGTATAAATAAATAAAAATAAATCTTAAAAAAAAAAAAGACTTATGAGAAGAAAGTAGTCATGAGAAGATCTGGAGAAGGTTGTCAGGCAATGGAAACAATAGGGGATGGTAAGGCAAAGACCTTGAGATGGGAGGTCTAAGTGTACTTGAGGAACAGAATGAAAAGTGGCTGGAGCAGCTTTAGAAGTATACGCAGGATGGAGTATACTGACACATGTCACTGCCACATCAAGGTTGACTCAGCATTTAGTCATTGCTGCTCAACAAACCCATATCCTCCATTCCTCAAATGACCATTGGCTCCCCCAAATGCCTGCTAGACAAATCCAACTGCCTGACCCTAATGTGAGTGATAAACCCAGGCAATGGAGCATAAGACACACTTAATAATCACAATGTGTGAGGCTAGAGTGGGACTGGTCAAGTTTGGCCTTTCTGAGGAAGATGTTTAAATCTGATGAGTCTCCTCTGGAAGTTATCTGTGGATCAGGGAGAAGACTGGAACTGGGCTTCTGAGGAGGCAGCCTAGGTCAGCTGAGTAAGATGGAGCACAGAGTGTTAGAGTGGGGGAGATGGAATGAATCTTAGGAAAGGGCTGAACAGCTGTGAAGGGAAGATTCTGTATATCCTTTTAGAAAAAAGTCATCACTGGTTTGTTTTGTCAGTGACAGTTATCCTGATGAGCCCAGGGTAGAATGGTCTGTTGATGCCAGAATTATCTAGGTCAGGTAGTAGGACATCATTATTTTTACAGAAATCTTAGCCCATCTAGATTGGTTCTAATTATGTCAGTCATAAACTTTAATGTTGCTTTGGAATAGTTCTCAATATGCTCTCTGTTTTTAATTATAAATACCCCATCTTCTCAGAAGGGTCATATGCTCCTTTATGAGAAGAGACTCTTCACTCTCTTCTTTGGCTATCTATATAGTAGTTAACACAACTCTGGGCTAGCACAATCTTCTCAAGAGGAAAAAGTCTCAAGTAGCTTAATGCCACTGTAGGAGACAAACTTTGCTACTATCAGCAACTCCTGGTGACAAAATGGTATAACATTCAGTACCATGGGTGCACTTGGTTCAGTAGCATGGGAGCACTTGATCCAGGCCATGGGAGAACTTGATTCAGGCCATGAGAGCACTTGAGTCAGTACCGTGGGAGCACTTGATCGAGGTCATGGGAACACTTCAGTCAGTACCATGGGAGCACTTGATTTAGGCCATGGGAAACAAGAAACTAGGTATGGTGGCGTCTTACCTGTTCTTCCTGCAGCGAATTGTGAAGGCAAAGAAGAAAATTATCAGAAGAAGTCCACAGCTGAGGAAAGTCCAAACAACACCCAAGAGGACAGGAGATAATGAAGAACTGCTTTTGCTGCTGTAGTGGGAGGAGGTCTGAGAATAGAATACAGCGAAGCTGTTAGGAACAAAGGCTCTTCTGATCAGGCATGAACTGCCCAATCCGTCATCACCTAGGCTGGGAAATACATGTCCTGCATGAACATTTCTCCTCTTCTCGTCCCCCGCCCCCCAACAATTATATCTGAGCAGCCCTGACACCCCATGAGTGCTCACTTACAATTGTCCCGCAGAGATCATGAAGGGGTCTCTGATCCAGTCCCTGACCAGGAAAACTGTCACATAATTCAGAGCAGTTTATTTCAGGCTCCATGTCATCATATGCTCTACTCGGTGAGTACTTATTTACAGTCTTGGTTACCCACTGGTAGGTAACCAGCAGATTTTTTACTAAAATGTAAGAGCAACTCAAATCTTTTCTTCACAAGTGCCATTTGCGAGCTGACTTCTGGCTCACAGTCTGGGGTAAACAACCCATTCGGGTGGAAGCAAAGGGTTCTTTTACAAGGTTCCTTCATCAGACACAGTCCAGGCTCCTCAGCGGCCAGGACACAACCTGTGAGTGAAGAGTGGGCATTTCAGTAATCATTAGATTACCAAGGTGATGATTCTGGCTTGCCACCAGATGGCAGTCACTGCTCCAAGTAGTCTCAAATGGTTCCCAAAGGAAAGCAATTAAACCTGTTAACGAACAAATTAGGCAAATTATACATATACATACACATAACCATATATACACATATGTGAAAATAGTTTATTAGAGGTTTTATAGTATTTTATATATTTGAATTATATAGTTATATTTTTATTATATAGTTATACAATTTTTTATATAGCAAAGGTTTAAATACAGTTAAAGTTTTAAATATATTTAAATATATTTTAACCCTCTACAATAAACAATATTTTAAAAACAAAGGAAGCACATCTAACAATTTTTAGATATAAATCTCTACACTTTCTCTTCAGATCCTTTTGATGGCCCAAATCTATAAAAACCTTAGTTTATAAACATGCGAGGTATATCTTTTTTTTTTTTCCCTTCTCAAAGTCTCCTGCCCTTCCAAGATCTCTCCATGCAATTCATGTCTTAAACTGTCTGATTTGATTCTGAGTAGTAGCGGACTCAGGTGTTCCATGTTGTGTGCAGGCAATGTCCCTTGGTGGCTCTAGTTTTGTTCTTGCAGGAAGTGGAGAAACATTCTGTGTCCAGTCAGATGGGGGCACAAAAGGGTAGGAAAGCCTTTTGCCTAGAGTTTGTTTTCAAACTTTTAGAAAAACAGAATGAGATAATCTACTCAGGTAATAGAGTAAATTCTCATTTAATCTCATTGAGAGGTTTTTGGAAATTGCAACTTTAATTGAAAGTATAAGGAAACTGAGTCCTTGAGTAGTGTCATTTCATATATTGGAGGCTGGGACTTTTTTTTTTTTAAGATTTTTATTTTATTTTTATACCGGGGTACAGGCCAGATGTGCAGGAGGGTGAGAGGATTTACCAGAGACAGAGCGGGGAACAGAACAGGCAGAATGATGAAATATACTGCCGAGGGGAGCAGCGGGCGAGACAGGAGGGTTATGCTGCGCCATGTGGGATTCTCGCCAGCCAGCTGGGATCGAACCCTCGCTGCAGAGGCTGCAGACAGCCTCACAGTGTGGCACTCAACCGCCTGCGCTGCCAGGGAGGTCCCCACTTTCTTTTTTTCTTATCAACATTATAACAAAACAACACTGGCTATCTGAGGGCCTGCGACAAGGAGAGAATTTGAGGAGCTCTAGGAATATTCACAGAGTATGGTATTATTTCTCTCAGGTGCTTGCAACTTCTAGAAAGAAGCTCTACCTTGCAGAATAAAAGTAGAAATGCATAAAGGTTCAAATTAGCCTGGTAGAAAAAGGTAGACATGTTCCAAATTCTTTAAAGCAATTAATAGTCTCGCCTGCTGCTCCCCTCAGCAGTGTATTTCCGTAGATTTGCCTGTTCTGCTCCCCACTCTGTCTCTGGTGAATCCTCTCACCCCCCACACCTCTGGCCTACACCTGAGTTCTTGTATGCATAAATAAATAAAAATAAATCTTTTTTAAAAATAAAAAAAGCAATTAATAGAGAAAACAGATTTGAAATTTTACCAATAGGAATCTAAAAGAGGATGCCACTTCTGTTTTCTGTTTTCAAGTTATTCTGTTTTCAAATAACTTGGTACAGTTTGCTTTTATCATAGAGGAAAACTAGAAGAATAATATATCAATTATTATTGTTTCAATAGCCACTGAACATGGGACTTGTGTTTAAGTCAGAATAACAGTGACAGGTGTAGGATATCATCTTTGAATTCTGTGTGCTTAGGCATGAACAATATAGCACCAGGTGTTACCATTCATTGGCTTCTTATGTGTTCCTGAATTATTTACGAGGTTAATTACAATGAAATCTCAAGAGAACTAAAAGCCACTATGTTCTGTCAAGAAATTTAAATTCTTGTGCAGTCTCATCAGATTATTGAATGCAAAATTAAGAAGTAAATATTAAAATGTGACTATGAGCAGTCTAATTTAGTTGAAATATCAGTTGCTGAAAGGACATTCTCTTTCTTTTTTTAAAAGCTAGAGATCTCACATTGTGCTGCCTAGCAGAGAATGACATTTTAAGCCACAGAGGACTATAACACATGTTGGACTGCAAGATATATCTTCTCTATATTACTCTTTTAATCATGCTGGCAAGTAAGTACACTTATATTTGAACCATTATTAAGTCCAGTTATGTACATTATATGGAAGCACACATGAGTGTCTGTGCATGTGTGTGTGTATAAAACTTTAATTCATTCTCACTACAACATTGTCACGTGAGGTAAACAACACCAACTATTTTATTTCCAAATAAGGAAATGAAAGAGCAAAGACTTGGGAGAAACTTTTTCTATATCTGTAGAGGCAGGACATGAATCTAGGAGTTTACAATCCAAGATGAATGTCTTTCCAATATTCAACCGACATCAGGCAATCATTCTGGACTGATACCTCCAAGAAGATACCTACTGGGTTTCTTTATAAGTTCCCAGAGCTGCATTGCTATGGGTCCCCTGAAATGTGGCACGCATAGTGCATCTATACCTGTAGTTCCCAACAAGGGAAATTTTATACTTCCAAAGGACATTTGGCAATATCAGAAGACAGTTGATAAAACCAAGAGGAAGGTTCTAATGACATGTAATAGAAAGAATGCTATTAAAAATGCTACTATTCTCAAGATTGTCCAAACAAAGAATTATCCAGTCTCAAACATCAATAGTGATAAGGTTGACAAACCTTGGTTGATGCAGTGAATCATGGAAGGTCTAAAATCTTAAGCTCAAATCACCTTTAGGAGAGTCGGTGCCCATGAGGATATTCTATCTGAACATACATTCCAGAGGGCTAAGTTTCTTAGTACATCTCAATTGTCCCTTGGACAGACTGAACTCACTGACATGAAACTTTAAATGCTAGGTTCCCTTTCAGTCCATGGAATCCAGTGTAGAACTTTATATACAATGATGCTGGACTTCCCAATGGGGAAAACATTTGACTCCAACATTAGCAGAGGGATTTTCAAATGAGGAGCTAGTAAAACAATGAATGGTTTGGTCACTGAGAGTTATGTTGAATGATATTAAAAGTGTTGAATGGAAATATAGGTAAGAAGTATTATGTCAGAGAGGGTAATGTTGAGATATTATACCACATGATAGATACAGAATCTAAGGCACAAAGAAAAAGGTCTGCTTGACTCTTCCAAGAGCAAACACTATCCACCAGACCTCACACCAAGCCCCCATCTATACACAAAGTCTCTAGAGGTAAAATGTCCAGGCCACACAGAGATAGTAGCAAACCCAAGGCCATCCATGGTAGGGATTATACTTTATTTAGCAAAGATTATAGAATCCTGCCTGGTAGCTGATACAATGTTAGGATCAGGAAAATGGACATTGTATCAGCTACCTGTTCCCAAGTGCAAAATGGTCTTTTACAGGCTCACAACTCTCAATAGCCCTATATCTTCTCACAAAATTTCTACTGTTCTTCTACATATTATTTCTGGATATTGAAAAACCAGTCATATAACTACTGTGTTTGAAAAGTTGTTTTGCAGATGGTGGAACTTCTGCTTCTATTCATAAGAATTAACGGCTTTTAGAATTGTCTTCTGATTGTAAACAACTTGAAAATTAGTCAAAATATAAGAAACAACTCTTTTCAGACACTGGATAATAGCTATCATAGGACTATGTGAAACAAATAAGGTAAGCTCTATAACTGATTGACAAATAAAAAATGGAATATAAGTAAATAGCCATTAAATGACTATAAATAACCCCAAGTTACTGCCTGGAGGCAATTTCTAGTTTCTAGACCATAACACAGGGAGGGAAAGCCAAAGGAAGCCTAGAAGACTTGCTGAAATAAGGAGGATAATCAGGCTTGGGATGTCAAAGTAGATAGAGTTTGAGGGCAGAGTAATGAAGGAGAGAGAGGGCAGAGGCAGAGAGAGGAGGGAGGGGGGAGAGAGCGAGAGAGTGAGAGAGCAAGAGCCAGAGCGAGAGCGAGAGAAATCTGCAGGAATCTCATCATTCTTCTTCCAAGTACAGATTCTAGGCAGAGCTGAGAAGAAGTGTAAGAAATAACCACTGATAAGCAGTAGCTGAACAATTTCTGCAGCCCACACAGGGCTGGGAATACTTTGTCTTCCCACCAGCCAGAATGCAGAAATCTCATAATGTATAAGAGATTAAATAAAAATCCTCAGAAAAGCCCTATCTTAGTTGTAGATCGAAAATAACCCGAGACTAGAAGTTACTTTGGGCCTACCCTCATGATGCTTAAAATAAAGCACAAAAATGATCAAATTGATCCACAAGAAACTCAGCTGCATTCCAGACCACAATATAATATGCTTGAAAGGAATACAATAAAAGCCAGCACTCAACAACACAAAATTCAAAATGTCCATAAGCCAGTAAAAAATTACCAAGCATGCAAAGAAGCAAAAAAATAAGACCTGTAACTACATTTTTAAAAAATTCAATGAAAACAAATACAGAAATAACAGAAATGAAATAACAAGCACAAAATGGTTTTAAAACAACTATTATAGGGGCTTCCCAGGTTGAGTGCTGGGTTGCGAAGCTGCCCGCAGCCTCTGGAGCACGGGTTCCATCCCCGGCCACTGGCGAGATTCCCACATGGCACGCAGACCTCTCCTGCCGTGCCCCTGCTCCCCTCAAGCACTGTATTTCGGTCCTTCTGCCTGTTCTGCTCCCTGCTCTGGCTCTGGTGAATTCTCTCACCCTCCTGTGCTTCTGACTGTACCCAGTGCTTGTATAAATAAATAAATAAAAATCTTAAAAAAAAAAAAATGAAACAACTATTATAGATATGCTCAAGAATATAAGGAGAAAATTAACAAAATGAGAGAAATAAAAGACACCCAAAAAATTCAAATGAAACTTCTAGAAATAAAAATATAACTCTGAAATAAAAAAAAATACTAAATTTGATACTGCTAAAATAAAATACTGGTTAACCTAATGGCATGGTAATAGAAGTTATCCAAAATGAAACAGAAAAAATGATTGATAAAAGTAGATATTGATTTGGGACAATATGGAACAATAACAAATGGTTTACTGTGTAAT